CAACAGGCCCAGGGCCAGAGGGAGTCATGGGTCTTGATGCATTCAAGCCCCTGGCAAGTATAGCTGATTACCTCTACCTCTGATCCTTTACGCCCCACCTTCAGTCAAGATTACAGAACTAATTTAGTAATTACAAGGCATCGGGGTGGGATAGGGAGGGTTGGAGGGAGACGCAAGAGGGAGGAGATATGGGGATATGTATATGTATAGCTGATTCACTTTGTGATACAGCAGAAACTAACGCACCATTGTAAAGCAATTATACTCCAATAAAGATGTTAAATAATAATAGTAATTACAAGGCATCTATGATTAACAGCAGAAGGTAAAAGGGAAGGGAAAATTGAGGAAACATCTGACATCAGATGGAGAATTGAGAAAAACCAGAGGGGAAAGGATTGATAATGCTTCAAGGTTACCTGTAACTAAGGAGCAGAGCAGGGTTGAAGGGGGGTTGTGGAAGGGAGATGAAGAGCTCACCTCTTAGAAGGTGTAATCACAATGGTGAGAAAGCATGCATGTTAGCAGGGAGAGGGAATAGGTAGTAGCAGAAAGGGGAGACCCACCCTTACTCCAGTTCCAGAGCTCAGAAATGAGGAAATGGGGCAGGGGGCAGTGGCAGTGATCGGGGGCAGGGAGAACGATGTGATAACAGAAGTGGCTGAAGAAAACAAGATGTAAAATTCTCATAACAAGAGGTAGCAACACAGCAAAGAGGCATAGCTTGTGAGCACCAAGCAGGTGCAGCCGCAGAGAGATGTGCTAAGAGAGTGAGGCCTCATTTGTCACTGGGAGGGAGCAGGACAGGGATGGAATAACAGAGTTGAGGGCAGTGGGGAGGGCCTGGCCCTGCAGCTGGAGGAAGGGAAGTGTTACTACTGGATGGAATGGTGGAGGGAGTGAGAGAGGAGCAGGAAGGTGTGATGACAGCAAGCGTGGCCCAGATCTAGGGGAGGAAACCGAAGGCCGGCTGCCCTGCCGGGGAAGGGGAGCAGCTGGCAGAGTGTGAGCAAGGGTGAGGAGTCCAGAGGTGAGCTCAGATCTGGGGGGTGTGATGCAGTGGGGACCTGGGCCAAGGGACTGGAGTAGGTCTGTTAAGACAGTGTCCCTGGAACCCAACAGGGCAGCAGACGCCCTTCTAAAGGCAGTGGCAGCCAGCAGTGTCGCCGAGAAGGCTGTGGAGGCAGCTCGAATGGCCAAACTGATAGCCCAGGACCTGCAGCCCATGTTGGAGGCCCCAGGTGAGGCGTGGGCAGCCTGGGGCGGGGCCGGGGGAGGGGGTGGCTTCCTGGGGAGCTGGGGGGCCTGGGCATGGAGAAAGGGGAAGGGAATCCTTGCAGGGGACGGGGGCGGGAAAGGCCAGGGTATGAGGATCTACGGGGACAGGGGGTGGGGACCAGGCCCAGCTGTTTGAGGAGCGAAGTAGGAATTTATGAAATAGGGTCATAGGACTAGGGGGTTGGGGTCTGGCAATGAGAGGCTGTAAACCTGGGGGTACCAGAGTCCTGGGAGGCGCCCAGGCAGGGGGATACAGCTGTAGCTTCTGCAGCCCAAGGCCAGTTCGTCCCCTCTGATTCTTAGCTATCCCTGCCCCAGGCCGCAGACCCAGGCAGGACTCAGAAGGTTCTGACACAGAGCCCTTGGATGAGGACAGCCCTGGGGTGTACGAGAATGGACTGACCCCCTCAGAGGGCTCCCCTGAACTGCCCAGCAGCCCTGCCTCCTCCCGCCAACCCTGGCGACCCCCTGCCTGCCGGAGCCCACTGCCTTCTGGAGGGGACCGAGGTCCCTTCTCCAGCCCCAAAGCTTGGCCTGAGGAGTGGGGGGGCCCCGGTGAGCAGGCAGAAGAACTAGCTGGCTATGAGGCAGAGGATGAGGCTGGGCTGCAGGGACCAGAGCCCAGAGATGGCTCCCCACTCCTCGGAGGCTGCAGCGACAGTTCCGGAAGTCTTCGAGAGGAGGAAGGGGAGGATGAAGAGCCCTTGCTCCAGATGAGGACCCCAGGGCGCTCGGAGCCGGAGCCCACAGCCTTGCCAGTCCTGAGGGGCCTGTCCTCGAGGGGTCCTGAAGCCGGGTGCCTGATGGAAGAGGCTGAGGAGGCTGCTGCGTCCGAGAGGCCCGCCCAGCCGGTGAGAGACTCTCCCCTCCCCGACTCTGCCCTGTGCCCTCTGAGTCTCCCATCCTTCCTGGTCCCTCTTATCAAAGCCTGGCCTCTCATCCTTTCCAGACTTCTCTCTGATCCCCTGAGGGGCTTTGATTTGCACTTAGCTTCCTTTTTGCCTGCCCAGTCTTGGACTATATCCCACCTCAAAAAAATAGAGAATTTGCAAGCTGGAAGGAACCTTAGAGACCTTCACGTCCAACTCCCTCATTTGACACACGGGAGGACTGAGGCACTTACAGTAACTCACCAAGGTTACGAATAATTAACAGTACAGCCAGAACATCTTTGCCTGCTCTCCTTTCATATCATTTCCGGCTCCTGGTTTCCTACTCCACCTCCACCCCCACCTCCACACTTTCTCTCTTTGGTGCCCAGAAATAAAAAAGGAAAAGCTTGTTCCCTCCCTACCCTGACTCTCCCTCCCTCTCCTGGGAAGAAGAGAAATAGGGAAGAAGGCAGAAAACAGGGAGGGGTGGAGTTTCCCCAGTACCCTCCACTCTGATTGGACTCCAGGCCTTCTCCTGTCTCCTAGCAACCACATCCTCACCCCTTCATCCCCTCTCTGCTTCACTGCAGTAAAGGCTGCTGCTGCCAACGTCTGATACTAAGGCCAGGCACCTTCTGCCTGGGCCACGTGCTGCAGGGAGGGGAGTGGAAGGAGAAGGGAGGATGGGCTGACTTGAGGGAGCCAGAGGGAAGGTGGGGCCCTGCCTGGGAGCAGAGGAATGTTTTGCCATCCAAAGCAAAGGTTGGAGATTTCCCTGCTCTGGCCTCTGAGGAGAGGTGCCTGGGACCCTTCTGCTTTGCCACCTCAGCCAGGGCAGGAAGGTGGGACCCGTCGCTGGACCCGGTCCTCAGGCACTGAGACTGCATTTCCCCCCATCTCTCTAGGGAGCTGCCAACCCGTTGGTGGTGGGAGCCGTGGCCCTCCTGGACCTCAGCCTGGCATTCCTGTTCTCCCAGCTCCTCACCTGAGGCTCCTGCCTGGCCTAGTTCTGGCTTTGGTTTGCTGCCTCTTCACTCCTCTGACCTGCCTTTTTCTCTTTTCTTCCTCCTGGTTGTTTTTTCTCTTTTCTTTCTCTTCTCGCTTCCCTTTCTTTTCTGTCCCCCTCTGGTTTTCTCTCTTGTTTTTTCTTTCCCTCTCTCCTTTCAGATTCTCTCATCCCTCCTGGCTCTGTCTCCGTCCTCCTCACTCCCTTCCCCACCCACCCCTTCTCTCTCCCTTCTCTCCTCTCTCTAGATTGTTTACATATGAAGGGCTTTTCTCGCTCAGAGTCGCTCTCTTCTCTGAGACACACAATTCTAAGTCAGACCATTGCCCCACACCCTCCCTGCCTTTTCTTTAGACCTGAACTTGGATGAGGGTTGGGGTTTGGGGTCCTGAGGAGTCTCCCAGAAGCTGAGCAGAAAGGAAGGAGAAAATGGAGAAGGGGTATACTCTAGACGGGAGAAGACTGTATCCTGGGCGAGGCACTGGCCGTGCTGCTGTGACTCCCTGACCCAAGGGGCCTGGCGTCCCTCTGAGGCCTAGTGATAAAGCTGGAGGGGGTGCAGCCTCCATCTCTGACGTTGGAGGATCCTACCTCACCTCCAAGCACTGAGCTAGGTTCTTCCCGAGCTCCATCCTTCCCTGAAGGAGATGAGGGGAAGGAAAAGTAGGATGGCTCCCCAGCATCTTCTCCCTCTTTCTTTCCTCAACAGCCAGCCCCTCATCCAACCCCCTAGGGTGGCATGCCACGTCAAGAGCAATGTGTAAAGGAAAGAGAATGTCCAATGCGGCCAAGCCCACCCTCTCCCACCTTTCTCTCTCCCCCTAAAAGTTTGTTTGGTTGGTCTGGACTCACGTGTGGCCTTTGATTAAATTTCTAAGGGACCTGAAGGAGGCATTTCTACTGCAGAGGGTTAGAGGCACCTGAGCAAGGACCCCACTCCCCAACTCTGGCAGTAGTGGCTGGGAAGGCATTTCTGGAGAACAAACCAGACAAGCTAATAAGAAATCACAGGGCAGCAGAAGCTGTTTAGTAGTCCCTAAGTGGGTTATGTCCCTTCCCCCATCATATCAGAATCTTGTGAAATGGGAAACCAACAGAAGGAGGGGATCAAAGGAAGCCAGTCTCTCACACACTTTCCAGGCACAGCAGAGGTGAGAGTCAAACCCGGGCGAGAGGTGGGTGGAGAGCCCTGTTTGAGGTTGTGGCTGATCCCTGGTACTAGCTTTTCCCCTGGGGGCAGGAAGCCCTAGGAAGAGGGTACTGTAGGGTCCCCAGAGGATCTTTCCTCCCTCCCCTGCATGAGGCAGAGGCAAGCTGCCTGCCAACCCCCTCCCTCAAGGAATGGCCTTGCCTGGGAATGCCCACCACACACAAACTCTTCTTTTTTTCTAGTCAAACTCTGTTTACTCCTTGGCCTGCCTCCCTCTTCCTCCCCTCTCAACCTTTACTTCTAATTTGTATTTCATGGAATTTGGGATTGAAGTTAAACTACAACAGTGCCACCAACACCAAGTCTTGCAGGAAAAAAAATATACAAAGAAATTTAACAAAAAAAAATATATTAATAAAAAATTTCAAAAAAAGGGGGGGGAAATTGTCCTCTCCTTTGGGTGTGATGGCTTCAAACCAAGCTCTCAGAGGCTCTCCGGGTAAAGGAGCCCTCTCGGGGACCCCCAGGCCTGTTATTACACTCTCGCCGGCCCTAAATAGTTAAGAGTTCTTTCCCCTCAACTCCAAACCAGGAAGGCCTGAGCTAGAGGATTCAAGACTGCTCTGCCGGTCGGTTCAGGAGGGGCGGGGTCCCGTGATGGGGGCGGGGAGAGGGAAGGACCAGACCAAGTCCCAACGCTCGACGGGGCTAGTACCAGGAAGCGCTGTGGGGAGAGGAGCGGAGTTGAGACTGAAGCCAGGTGAGGCTGGCGTTAGGGCTGGCGTCCTGGTGTGGGGAAGCTGAGGCCGCCTGAGAAGTGAACGGCGGTTCCGGAGGAAGAAATAGCGCTGGGCTCTAGAAGGAAGGGAATGGCTAACCTAGAGATGGGAAACCAGGTGTACACTGAGGGAAAAGAGGTGGGGCGGGGGGGGGGCGGAAATAGGCGGGGTTCCGGCGCATGCTCGGTAGCAACGGGCGTGGAGTGGGGCGGGGACGCATGCGTAGTGGAGGTCTCCTTCCGCGGTGAGGAGGGGGCGGAATTGGGGGACCCGCGTGGGGAAAGGGCTCAGTTTTAGGGTAGCGGTGGGACCCAAGCCCTAAGGAACTTGGTACAGGGCAAGCCTGTGCAGAAAGGCCAGACGCTTCCAGCCAGAGGGTTAAAGCCCTCTCCGCTCCCGGGCTTTGCCCCCAGGATGGTGGCGTCCTCGTCCTTGCTGAAGCTTCGGGATCTAATCCAGGAGATTCGTGAGGCCAAGACCCAGGCCCAGGAGCGGGAGGTGATCCAAAAGGAGTGCGCCCACATCCGGGCCTCCTTCCGCGATGGGGACCCTCTGCACAGGCACCGCCAGCTGGCCAAACTGCTCTACGTCCACCTGTTAGGCTACCCCGCCCACTTTGGACAGGTACCGGGCAGGGACGCCTCCCTTCTAAGTTTGATGAGAGAAGCTAGTGGAGCACCGTCTCGGACCCCTCACCTATTTGTGTCCCGATTTCTTTATTCTACAAAGCTTCTGAGCCCTCACAGTATGCACCGCAGACCTCCTTCCGCAGTATAACCCCAACTGGTCATCAGCTGGGCTGAACCCTTCATTCTCTGGCCAGCGCCATTCAGGGCACTTCCTCCTCTCTTCCCATCCTCCTGTTTCCTTGAAACTACCCACTAACTGAATCTCCTAGACCTCTCTTCTTGTTGACGGGAGGGTCATGGGATATGCTGCCCTCACAGATTAATCTGGTGTAAAGGAGGAAAATGGAAAAGGGACGTTAGTACCTCTGGTTTCACCCCTGCCCCTTCCTGGTCTGCCCCCTTCCCTGTAGATGGAGTGCCTGAAACTGATCGCCTCCCCCAGGTTCACAGACAAGAGGGTGGGCTACCTGGGGGCCATGCTTCTACTGGATGAGAGGCAGGATGCCCACCTGCTCATTACCAACAGCATCAAGAAGTGAGAGAGTTCTGGGAAGCGCTTGGAATCAGGGAGATGGGAGAGTGGGGAACTGGGAAATCCCAGGGGGTTGCCTGCTGTAGGTACTGGGAAGGGCTGGGTTTTTCAGAGGCTCGACTGACCATCCTCCCAAAACTGTGCAGTGACCTGAGCCAAGGGATTCAGGCTGTACAAGGCCTGGCCCTGTGCACTCTGAGTGCCACGGGCTCTGCTGAGATGTGCCGGGACTTGGCCACTGAGGTGGAGAAACTGCTCCTGCAGCCTAGTGCCTATGTGCGCAAGAAGGTGAGATGGCAGGTTCTAGGCACTTGCGCCTCCAGAAACTGTCCCCTGTCTGCCACGTGGCAGAGGTGTGGAGGGCAGTCCATCCCAGCAGACCCCTCCCCTTCTGAGACCCCTGACCTCTGCAGGCTGTTCTGACTGCAGTGCACATGATCCGGAAGGTCCCTGAGCTCTCCAACATCTTCCTCCCACCCTGTGCCCAACTGCTTCATGAACACCACCACGGTAAGGCCATGGGGCTCCTCGTCCCCTGCCTCAGCTCTGGCTGTGGACAGAAGGGAGACGTGGGATGGGAACAGCAGCTCCTAGGAGAAGGGTGGCACGTGCACACAAACACACACACGCAGTAGACTCCCCTGTACTCCGGCCCACCACTCACTTCCCCCACCCTGACCCAGGCATCCTGCTGGGCACCATCACGCTGATCACGGAACTCTGCGAACGAAGCCCTGCGGCCCTCAAGCACTTTCGAAAGGTGGGCTGGCGAAGGGGCGGGCCCCGGGCCAGGAAGAAAAGGGCAGTAGGGTTGGAATGGGGCTGAAGATTGAGAGGATTAGGAAGAATGCTCAGACCAGGCACTGCCCTCTCTCCAGATGGTGCCCCAGCTGGTGCACATCCTCCGGACTCTGGTGACGTCGGGATACTCCACAGAACACAGCATATCTGGAGTCAGCGACCCCTTCCTGCAGGTGGGCTGACCCTTCCCTGCTATATCCCTAGAACAAAGAGCTTAGTAAGCCCATGGCTAGTGGTCGCTTCCCAGAGAACACGTGGGCTCAGTCAGTGTCTTGGGCGGGAGGGTGGCAGGCACCAGGTTCTCCCAGGACCATTGTGGGGAGGGGGATGCCTGAAGGCCAGAAAATCCAGTTTGGTAACAATATGTTTAAAAAGCCTGTCCTCAAATCCCCTGGCCTCACACACCTCTGAACCCCTCCCAGGGCCCAAGGGACCAGTGGAGGTGGGGGGAGGGCCAGGGAGGTTCTCGGGAACCAGCCAAACCCCTCACAACGCTCTCCTCAGTGCTGGACTTTTCTCCTCAGCCCCACGACTCCTTCCCCTAAGAACCACCCCCCCAACCTTTAACCCAATTTCAGGTCCAGATACTTCGTCTGCTTCGGATTCTGGGCCGGAACCACGAGGAGAGCAGTGAGACCATGAATGACTTGCTGGCCCAGGTGGGGGTGGGGTTGCCAGTTAAGTGTGTTGCTCTGTGATCCCACTGGCCCTGCGCATCCCTCACATGACCACTCGCCATGCGGTGGCCATGTGATAACGTCTCCATTTCCCTCTGGACCGGGATCTCCCTGAGGACAGGGACACAGTCTGTCTCAGTGCAGTAGCCCCTGGCACATAGCGGGAGCTCAGGGAACCTTGTTAGCTGTTTGAGGGGTGATATGATGGAGACCTTTCAGAGACCTGAGGAGAGGACGGAGCCCCTTAGAATGCATCTTCTCTCGCATCCACACAGGTAGCCACGAACACAGACACCAGCCGAAATGCGGGCAACGCGGTCCTGTTTGAGACGGTGCTCACCATCATGGACATTCGCTCTGCAGCAGGCCTGCGGGTACCCTTCCGTGTGCCCCTCCCCCCTGGGGCCCCTCCCACCCGCCCCGGCCAGGCAGAAAGGTCCTGTTCACTGGTTTCTCCTCCCCACCCTGGTCATCCTGTGCCACGCAGTCCCCACTCCTGAATGAGCAGGTTGCTCCTTCCCTGACCGTCCCCAACCTCTGCCTCCGTAGGTTCTAGCTGTCAACATTCTTGGCCGCTTCCTGCTCAACAGTGACAGGAACATTAGGTAATAGGCCCAGGTGTCTGGCTGGGCTGTGTCACTGAGCCCTGGGTCCTCTGCCCTCCTTCTTCCAGAGTCTCCGGATTCACCAGCCTCTTATTCCTATACCCAGGGCAGGACGGGGTCGGGGAGGGCTGACGGCCATGGCATGACAGGGCCTCTCCTGCTCTGGCCAGGTACGTAGCCCTGACGTCCTTGCTGAGGCTGGTGCAGTCTGATCACAGTGCTGTGCAGCGGCACCGCCCCACCGTGGTGGAATGTCTACGGGAACCTGATGTGTCCCTCAGCCGGTGAGCAGGACAGAGGAACGAGAGGGCGGGGCAGAGGGCCCAGCACCTGGTGGCCAAGACCCAGGCCAGCTCAGAGCAGCTGGAGAAAGGGGACTAAGGAGACAGGTGCCTGGGGAAGCGGGGGCCTGAGGCATGTCATAGGGTGACCTGGGTTACCTTGTATAAACACACCTCTCTCCTGCCAGGCGGGCCTTGGAACTGAGCCTGGCTCTGGTGAATAGCTCCAACGTGCAAGCCATGACACAGGAGCTGCAGGGTTTTCTGGAGTCCTGCCCCCCTGATCTACAGGCCGACTGTGCCTCAGGCATCCTGCTGGCAGCAGAGAGGTGAGGGGATGGGTGCCCAGGAGGCAGAGAGGGTGGAATCCAGGGACCGTCAGCACCAGGACTGAAGAGCCATATGTCCCCTAGGTTTGCCCCAACCAAGCGGTGGCACATAGACACCACCCTACGTGTGCTGATGACGGTGAGGCGGGGGCTGGACTGAGAGCTGGGCGGGAGCATGCAGGGTTCACCACACTGACTCAGCCACGTTCACCCCTCCAGGCAGGCACCCATGTGCGCGATGACGCAGTGGCCAACCTGACCCAGCTGATTGGGGGCGCCCAGGAGCTCCATGCCTACTCTGTGCGCCGTCTCTACAGCGCCCTGGCTGAGGACATCTCCCAGGTACTGCTCCCACCACCAGGCCTGGGGCTGCCCAGCCCTTCCTGGGCCACCTGCTCCATATATCTGATTCCCAACTGTTTTTCCCTCAGGGTCACAGCTCTCTACTTAGCAGAGGAGACACTCAAAGACAGAGCCCTGTTTGTAGTTAGAACACCTGGACTTCTGTCCTGGTTCTGACACCTACTGTCTGTGCAACCACAGATGACTCATTTACCTTCATGCTAGGTCCACTCCGCATTCTACCCTGCCTATCTCCCGGAGCTGCCTTGATCAAATGAGATAGATAAAAGCTCTTTCTGCATGTATTAGGTTGTTTTTTTTTTTTTTTAATGTGGGATCTTAGTTCCCAACCAGGGATCGAACCCGTGCCCCCTGCATTGGAAGCATGGCATCTTAACCACTGGACTGCCAGGGAAGTCCCCCATAGGTATTTTTTTGGCTGCATTGGGTCTTTGTTGCTGCGCGTGGGCTTTCTCTCTAGTTGCAGCGAGCGGGGGCTACTCTTCGTTGCGGTGTGCGGCTTCTCATTGCAGTGGCTTCTCTTGTTGTGGAGCAGGGCTCTAGGGCACACAGGCTTCCGTAGTTGTAGCATGCGGGCTCAGTAGTTGTGGTTCATGGACTCTAGAGCGCAGGCTCAGTAGTTGTGGCGCACGGGCTCAGTTGCTCCGCGGCATGTGGGATCTTCCCGGGCCAGGGCTCGAGCCCATGTCCCCTACATTGGCATGCAGATTCTTAACCGGTGTGCCCCGGTTTTATTATTACCTTGAATGCTGAGTGAATTCACAGATGCCAACCAGTATAGCCCCCTTTCCATATTACTTTAGTAGGCTAGGCAGAAACCACCCACCCCTTTCTCAAGGGAGGACCCCCCGTCACTTCTCCCCATCCTTGCTGCACCCCTTGTGGTTAGGCCATGTAGGTTTGTTTTTGTTTTTGCATTACTTTCTGAATTTTATTCTAGGATACTTTTTTAAATTGAAATATAGTTGATTTACAATATTGTGTTAGTTTTAGGTGTACAACAAAGTGATTCAGTTATACATACATATTTTAAGATTACTTTCCATTATAGGTTAGTACAAGATATTGAATATAGTTCCCTGTGCTATACAGTAAATCCTTGCTTATTTATTTTACATATAGTAGTTTGTATCTGTTAATCCCATACTCCTTATTTATCCTTCCCACTCCCCCTTCCCCTTTGGTAACCATAAGTTTGTTTTCTATGTCTGTGAGTCTGTTTCTGTTTTGTATATAGATTCATTTTTATTACTTTTTAGATTCCACATACAAGTGATATCATACAATGTTTGTCTTTCTATGTCTGGCTTAATTTAGTACGATAATCTGTAGGTCCATCCTAGGCCATGTAGTTCTGAAACTTGGCCACCAGAGGGCAGAGGAAGCCCAGGAGCCAGGACAGAGCTGGGAGCGAATTAACAAAACTGCTCATAACTGCTCCCTGTGCTGAGGCCCCTCCCTTTCCCCACCCCTCCAAACTCCACCATCTCTGCACTGCCTAAAGGATGTCATGGGGTCTGGAAGTGAGGAGGGGACATAGACACAGGCCCATCATGTTTCTCATCCCATGCAGCAACCGCTGGTGCAGGTGGCAACCTGGTGCATCGGGGAATATGGGGACCTCCTGCTGGAAGGGAGCTGTGAGGAAACTGAGCCCCTGCAGGTAGGTCCTGCATTGAGGATACACTGAGGAGGGACATACCAGGGGAGGCAGGGCTGGCCCCAGGGTCACTCCCTGTGTCCCCCTGGAAGGTGGAGGAAGAAGAGGTGTTGGCACTGCTGGAAAGGGTGCTGCAGTCCCATATGTCCCTGCCGGCCACCCGAGGATATGCCCTCACAGCCCTCGTGAAGCTCAGCACCCGGCTCCGTGGGGACAACAAGTAAGAGTGGGTCCCAACCCCTCCCACAGAGCCTCTTCTTGGTGCCTCCATTGAGAGATGTCCCTTCACTGTGCCCCCCAGTTTCTGAGTTTCTGTCCAGGCCCACACCCCGATCCCCACTCCTCCGTCCTTAGCTTCTTCCTTTTTTTTTTTCTTTTTGCAATATGCGGGCCTTTCACTGTTGTGGCCTTTCCCGCTGCGGAGCACAGGCTCCGGACGCGCAGGCCCAGCGGCCATGGCCCACGGGCCCAGCTGCTCCGCGGCATGCGGGATCCTCCTGGACCGGGGCACGAACCCGCGTCCCCTGCATTGGCAGGCGTACTCTCAACCACTGCGCCACCAGGGAAGCCCAGCTTCTTCCTTTTGAGCCAAGAATCATGGGTATCTCCGTGGTCTGTGGGGCCTCTTCCTTTCTTGCCGCATCCTGAAGGTGAAGGGCATGGCAGACGAGCCTTCCCACTCACGCACCACCCTGCGGCCCAGCCGCATCCGCCAGGTTGTGTCCATCTACAGCAGCTGCCTGGACGTGGAGTTGCAGCAGCGGGCGGTGGAGTATAACACCCTCTTCCGGAAGTATGACCACATGAGGTGTGTGCGCCACTCTGCCGCAGTGTGGGACCCAACCCCTGGCCCGCTCCCCGCTGTCCCTTTCTGGGTGGAGGGGTCTCATCCTCACCTGTGTTCTTCCTCATCCAGTCAGAGCCTCCTACTCACAGTTCACTGAAGCTAAGTGGGCTTCCCACCATCCTTGTTCATCTGAAGGCCAGCAAGACTGTGCCACCTTAGGAAATCAGAGGGGCACTTCTGACCCACCATGTGCCCAGGACTCCCCGTGTTCTTACCCCTCCTCCCACGTGCCTCTTGCGCAAAGCCCAGGGTCTACCCAGAGGGATACACCTGCATTCCATCCTCCCAGGGCTGCCATCCTGGAAAAGATACCTCTTGTGGAGCGAGGTAGCTCTCAGGTTGATGAGGAAGCAAAGGAAAGCAAAGAAACAGCCCAGCTTTCGGAAGCAGCCCCTGTCCCCACAGAACCCGAGGTGAGGAGGCCGGGAGTCCCAGGGGGAAGAGCATGGTCCAGCTTCCATACCCAGCCCTGACACTTCTGCCCTCTCCCCTAGGCCTCAAAGCTCTTGGATCTGTTAGATCTCCTGGATGGCCCTTCTGGGGACGCCCAGCACCCTCCCCCTCTGGATCCCACCCCAGGAGGCGCTTTGATACACCTCCTCAACCTTCCCTGTGCTCCCCCACCCCCTGGTAAGCCTCAGCAAAGGGGAGATGTCTTAAAGAAGGGGCGGTGGAAACAGGCTGCTTCCCCTTCTAAGCCAAGGACAGGTTGATAGCCTCTTCCCTGCTGTGTACCCCCATCACATCCCCATCTTAGTAAAAGGCTTCATTACATCATGCCAGTCTCCTCCTGGACACCCTCCAGTATCTTCCCTTTGTTCCAGACTTCTTACCCTGGCCTGCGGGCCCTGCTTCCTCCCTGCCCACCTCACATGCTTTCCCACTACCCGCTCCACTGGCCCCCTCTCAGCTCCTCAGGCCCTCTCACCTCAAGCCCTTGGCGTTCCTATTCTTTTCACATGGAATGTCCTTTCCCCAGCACATCAAAATGACTGGCTCATTCTCAACCTTCAGGCCTCAGCTAAACTGTCAGATGCCTTCCCCTACCTCTCCTATTTCAGTTAGTTCCCCCCAGTTATCCTGGCATAGTTTGCTTCCTTCAGAGCACCAATTACAGTCTGTGATTGTCTTTCTTGTTTATTGTGTCTCTCCCCCCGACTAGGCTGTTAGCTCCATCAGAGGCCGCATCTTCTCCACTCTGTCACTAGCATCTCGAGCAGGGCCCTGCACCCAATGGGTGCTCGTTTAATTTTTATTGAATGAGTGAACCGTTATCTTCAGCCCATACGCTGAGCCACTTCTTTCTCCCTGCTGTAGCTCCCATCCCACATCTCAGAGTGTTTGAGCGCGAAGGACTACAGCTGGATCTTTCTTTCGTTCGACCCCCTGGAACCCCTACTTTGCTGTTGATCACTGTCACTGCCACCAACACCTCAGGGGGTGATGTCACCCACTTCATCTGCCAGGCCGCTGTGCCCAAGGTTTGTAGAAGACTGGGATTCAGAGGTGGCCTCGGTACTCTAGGAGAAAAGGCCACTAAGTAGAGGAGGTGGGTGGGGGAGAGGATGAGATGAGAAGGGAGTGACTTGCAGAGACAGGCACGTGGGGAGTTATGGGAAGAGGGTTGAAAACTGTTGGGTGTGGAGGGGTTACCTGAGCCCAGCCAGCTCCCTGCGGTGTGCTCCATCCAACCTCCTGTGTTCAGAGTTTCCAGCTGCAGCTACAGGCTCCCAGTGGGGACACAGTTCCAGCTCAGGGTGGCCTTCCGATGACCCAGCTCCTCAGAATCCTCAATCCTAAGAAGGTGAGCTCCAGGAGCCCCCCGAGGCTAAGACCCAGTGAAGGGGGAGTCACTGGTGCTTACCCTGGTCTCTGCTCTCCTATTCCTAGGCCCCCTTGCGGCTGAAGCTGCGCCTCACCTACAACCACTTTGGCCAGTCGGTGCAGGAAATCTTTGAGGTGAACAACTTGCCTGTGGAGACGTGGCAGTAACTCGGCCTTCACTCACAGCCTGAAACCCTCCTGCGTCCCCAAGCCCAGGGGAGCCGCTATCTGAGGACAGCCAGCAGGTGGCAGTCTGGTCCTGTACTTGCCACTGGGGTTGGGGGGCTGCCCCCAACCCTACAAATAGTGAAAGCCCAATAAAGCCTGAGGGGGGAAGCCATACTTGAGGTAGAAAACGTGTGTGAAGCACAGCCAGGGAAGAGCCTTCTTACACAGGAAGTAGGTATCTTGCCCTAAGCCTTTGGAACTGGTTTCAACAAAGAAAGGTTTTCTTTTTACCCCTTTCCAGGCTGGGGGGCAAATGTGCCCCTAAACTTCCACAGGAGGCACTCTACCCTCTGGGCCAGAGCAGGGCACAGGGGCAACATCAAACCAGAATTTCTAGATTTCTAACAGGGACTCCCACCCATTTCCCCAGCCTTCTGCTATTCCCCATACCCCAGGGCAGGGAAATCCCTGCTGCCTCCCCTCATCTCTAACTCAGCTGTAAGGCGGTTTAGGAGCCGCTGGCAGAATCAATGGCATCGACCAAGGGAGGGAGGGTGGCAAGGGATTTTCCTGTGCTTAACTACTGATCACGGCTAAGTGGAAATCCTATAAACACGAGCGGAAATCAATGGAGGCTGCTTAGCGGCCAGGGGAGAGGGGTGGCCCACAGATTGCATCTGACGGATGAGGGAGAGGGGGCAGCCAGGGAGGGCTCCAGGAAGGATAGCTGAGGGTAGGGGGAAGGAACAGGCGGAGCTGGAGAGAGAGGAGTCACCGTGGGAAGGGGAGCCAGAGAGGAAGAGGCACAGTGAGCCCAGGAATGAACCTCATTCGACCCGGAGCTTTCTTCCCCATCGGGCAAGTGACACCCTAGCCCAGTGTCACGTCTGGATCTTCCAGTCCCCTAAGCCTTCTCTGTGGAGCTGTACACTTCTAGCAGGCGCTGATAGTCCTGAGGCCGGAAGCGTTGTAGGTACACAATCAGCTTGGCAGGTGCCGTCTCCTGCGCCAGCACACCTACAGGCAAAAGGAGAATGAGCAGAGAACCAGACAGAGCCGAAAATGCTTTGACTCTCCCTGCCCACGCAGCTGGACCCCAAAGTTTCCAAGGCAGCACTGGGATTCCGAACACTGTCCAACCAGCTTCTCTAACTTGCCAGCCCACTCCCTGATTAGCCTAGGGAAGCGGGGCCTAAGAGGGCCACTTGAGGCAGCAGTGGGCCTGGGAAGCCAAGCATGAGCCTCTCCTCCAGCAAGAAGTGGTGAAAGGCACTCAGGCACCATGAAGACAGAGGGTGCGTCAATAGCGACTCATTTCAATTACTGCGTCTGCCCCCCAATCAAGATTAAAGCCTATCCAGCCAGGCCAAAGCTCATTAGCTTGGTAATGAAGCACATGCAGAGATGCACACAGAGAGAGAAACCAAGGGATGTAGGAAGAAGAGACGCAGCTACAGCCATGGGCTGGGATTCACGGGGAATTCTAGCCTGTGTGCTGTGGAGTCACAATAAGCCAGTGTCTGAATGTCAGTGCCTGGCAGCATGCCGGGCAGATAGCAGGGAACTCGCTGTGGGTTTGCTGGGGAGGCAAGAGCAGCGTTCCAGGGCTGTAAGGCCCGACGGCATGCACGACACTATACTCCTGTGGATGAACTGTGTACAAGGGAGCTAAGCCTGGGAATGGAAAAACTAATCTGCTAACGTTTGCCGCACAGTCACATAGACACAACGTTCTCGCCTTTTACTCAAGCCAATAGGACAAATTAAATGAGGATTTAGTTGTAAAAGTGAGAGGACAGGAGTTGGGGGAAGGAAGGATGGATGGAAAGATGGAAGAGGAGAACTGACAAAGAGAACTGAAGGACACTTGCAGTGACTAGAGGTATGAGAACTACATGAGACAACGACTGGGATGGATTAGAGACACATGGAAGGATTCAATCCAGGTTAGACAACTACTGCAAAAGAGGAAACCGGATTTGATAGAGCCCTAAGCAAACCGGGTCCTCTAGAAAATTGCTGAAGTAATTCCCCAGAAATAGCCTCGAGACCCTCCCCACTAACTGGCCCAGCGGGTACACCCAGAAGAGGAGCAAGGGAAGCACAGAAGGGCCTGTCTCCCTCACCAAGCATGCTGCTGAGGCTGTGGATCTTCTCCAGGGCAGCTGGGACTTCGGCCTCCTCTTGCACCAGGGCCTCTACCTCACCCACAGCGTAGCCAAAGTCAGCTGTATCCAGGTCCACCCTGAGCGGCCGCTCCTCTTCATCAGCTCCGCGCGGCACCAGTTTCCAGGCACTACGCTTAGTCACAAAACTAGCTACTTCCTGCAGCCCCAGCGGGCCCAGCACAGCAGCCACGCCTCCAGCCCCCGGGACTTCAGCCCTCAGCACCTCACAGAGCTGGGCCACAACTGCAGGCTCAGCTGTGAGTTCCATGTACTTAGTGTGGGGTCCTGAAACACTTGCTGCTCCGGGACATTTGAGCTCCCATCCACTGCCCTCTCGCTGTCGGAGCCAGTAGTCAGCCCGCATGAGGCTCAGCTCAGGGGTGTCATAATAGCTGTCTCGGAAAGTGACTCGGCGCTCCAGGGTACCCCCCAATTCCTGCAGCCGCTCCTCTGTGCCAGGGCTGGGAACGAACTTTCGCTCCACTTCAATCAGGCCCTGGGCCATGCTACCTGCAATCAGTCAATCAACAAACATTGGCTGAGCTCCCAAAGACCCCTACCCCCGGAAGAAGTTAGGAAGCGCACACACTGTCACAGGGCTCTCTGTTGGGGGCCCTTCCTCCCTGCCTCTGTGATGGATGGCCCTTTCTTGTCTCTGATGTTCTAAGGTTCAGCAATAGCGATAAGTCTCCAGTTAGACCCCTTCCACTGCTGAAAATGCCCTCAATCCAAAGGACTCTCTAGAAAGCAGGTGTAGCGGGTGTCCTTTCAACGCGCCCGCTAGACACCATGCTACCCCGGGAGGACGGCGGCTCACTGCCGGTGGCGACCCCGCCCGATCCCCCCACAGCAACGGCCAGCGGAGCCTCGGGTCTCACCTCAAAGCCCCAGGATCTCCCTCTCGCGGGACCTGGAGAAGGGGGAAGGGAGCCCACGCCACGCCCGCGAGGAATGCCGGGAGCAGTTCCTGGCCCCGGACGTCGGCCCGGTTCTCTGCACACCCGGGAGATCCCGGCACAAGCGGCCATATTAGGCCCGCTGTGGCGAAGCCGACGGCAGGCCGGGGCCCGAGAAGCCTGCTAGCTTATGGGAGGCCGCAACCTCCGCGGTGGGCCGAGAGAGAGGCCATCTCCCTGCGCTCTGCTTCTCTTCCCAGACCCCTGCCGCTCTCGGGGGTGGGGGCGGCCCGGCTCTCAGGCCGCCGGCTGAGTCGGCACCCTGGGGCCCGAGTGCATGATGGGAGTTGTAGTTCCAAAGAGAGACTTTGCTTTCTTGCCCCACCCGTCGCTATGGTGACAGGAAAGCTGCGATTAACGCCAGCGGGACTCGACCTAAAGTTGAGAGAGTCGGATGGAAAAGGAGCTGAGGCCCCAGTCCTGTCTCCAACCTCCTCACCCCGTTGGCAGATGGGCCTGGAATACAAGCCACTCACTCAGACGCTGTCCAGCAAATATTTTATTAACTAGTATGGTGTCCCACTGAATGCAGGCCAGTGGGAATGAGCTAGGAAAAAAAAAAAAGGATAACTAAGACCAGTACAGCTATTCTAGACTCTGGAGTTTTAAAGGGGAGTTAATACATCCCCATGAATGTTCAGGAGAAGGGTGGATGGGAGACTTTCTGTAAGAGGAGGAAGTGATATTTTGGATGAAAACTAAAGACATGATGGAATTTCAACGGTTGGAGACCAAGATGGTGACAGGAACAGCATGAGCAAAGGCTCAGAAGATGGAGAGCACCTGGCCCATGTGTAAGAGGAAAGAAATGAATCTAGAAATACACTTGAGGGCAGGCTGGAAAAGGTTTTGAGTGTCAGACTGAGGAGTTTGTCCAGCGGCCCCTGAGCAGGCTTTGTCAGGAATAGGAGAAATACTTATGTTCATTTAAAATATAGGAAGACATGAGAATAGCCCTTTGCTTTGGGAGACAAAATAGAGAAGGCTTCTTCTCCTTACTCCCTCCCAGGGCTATGATTAGCTGGAGGCATCAACTGCATGTCTGATTCTTTGAGTAAGGTAGCTTGCTGAAGAACAGTGGCTCTTGTCAGCTCCTGGGCCTGCTCCTAGGATGGGTGCGAAGTGCTAGGTTCTCAATACCTGTCCTCTCCCCAGTATGTTTCTGGAAACACGTGACCCATGGGAGGTACTGTGGAGAGGACACTGGTTTACAGACATGGCATCCTGAACTTGGGATCTCTTTAAGGCGTACCCTGCCACATCCTATGACAGGTACCAATGTGCAGAGAGGGGAGGGACCCCAGCCCCTAATTCCTTTTACTGGCCTGCTTTTCATCTGTCCTTTGCTTATCAGTTTTGTTGCTCAGAGGAAGAAGACTTAATCTCTTCTGTGAGTTATAAAGTCCAGTCCAGTAGGGCCAAGGCAGCAGTTTAAGGAAAAGGAAAGACCAGACTCCAAAGCTAGACAGACCTGGAGTTGAGTCCCATCTTCACTTTACTGGTGTTTGGCATTGGGCTAGCAACTCCACCTCCCTAAACCTCTGTTTTCTCTTTGGTAAAATGTGGACTGTCTCACAGTTAAGTGTGAGGAATTCAGTGACAAACTGTCACATCACAGAGATTCAAAATGTTAGTTTCTTTCTCCTTCCTTTTTTCCTGTGAACTCCAGGAAACTTTTTTTCTTTTAAGAGAAGTAGGCTATAGCAGCTAGTGTGAGGTCTGCAGTCAGACTATCAGGATTTGAATCCTGGAGAGGTCACTTATTGGCCGTGTGACCTTGGGCCAGTTAATTAACTTGTTTGTGCCCTGGTTTCCTCAACTGTAAAATGAGACTAGTTGTGAGGATTAAATAAGTTGATATATGTAAAAGTGCTTGGAACTGTCCCTATGCGGTCAATTAATTTTAGCAGCTATTGTTATTAGAATATAGGAGAGCTTATAGGAGCTGATAAACTGAAGATGAGGATGGGGAGCCAGAACCTCCGCTCCCCCCACCCAACTCTGGGGACTCTGTGACCACGTGGAGGAGACAGAAGCTCCCAGGGACCAA